TTCGTCTTTCCTAGGAATTGAGGGACCGGCCTTGGCCTGACACGCTGGAGTCGAGAGGCACAGAAGGGGGTAAAAATTGTACCTGGATGTGGTCCTCTGTCTTAAGTGTATACAGACTTAGAGCTCCTTAAAGGTTAAGCTGTTACTTGGTACTATTATTTGTTTTTCCTGTCTTTATCTTCTTTGTAACCATTTTTAAGATCTATATTTTGCTAGCAGTTAAGAAATAGAACAATAGGCATTGCAACCATATGATTTATAAGCTTCCTCAATAAACCTGTAACTGTTTAAGCTTTAACCTGACTCCTTCAGTTGCTGTAATAGAACCAGGCACAATTTAAAAGAACTTCAGCCGGTCTTAAGGGACAGATATAGGGAGAGCTTGGGCATTTGGATTTGTGTCACTCCCAGGTGGCAGATCCGTTGGGGCACTTCTCAGCCTCCCCCAGGCTGCCCGCTGCGAAGGAATCACAGATTCTAGCAGCTAAAATCTGAAGTGTAATAAGCTCTCCCTGCAAACTTATTGGGGCGCTCGTCAACCTCCTCCAGGTTGCCCACTGCAAGGGACCCCGGTCTCAGCAGTTGAAGTCTCGGGTATATAGCACACACAAACACCACTCACTGCCCTGACCGTTGGCTGACAAGATGTAGCAAAGAACACTGAACCATCAGTTCATAGAGCGGACCCAAAAGGTTATTGAGCACCAAATTAAAGTCCCAAGCAGGTACAGGTGGACGAAAATACGGGTACGACCTGTCCAACCCTTTCCTGAATTGGGTCATCATGGGGTGGCCAAACAGGGAAACATGGGAGCAACCTGGGTGGAAAGTGGACAGTGCTGCCAAGTGCACCTTGACTGAGGAGGGTGCCAGCCCGAGATCGTAGGTGCAACAAGTACTCCAACACCACTGGGATGTCTGTCCGTCCCGGGGACACATCCCGTCCCTCACACCAGGTAGGAAACCTTTTCCATTTGGCTAAATATGCCACTCTTGTAGAGGGCTTTCTGCTGCCCAATAAGACCCTCCTGTACCTGTCTTGAGCACTGAATCTCTAACAAATCAAGCCATCCTGTTTCCATGCTGTTAGATGGAGGGAGCACAGATCTGGGTGCCTGAGGCGTCCCTGATGCTGTGTCAGGTCTGAGTATAGGGACAGGGATATCGAGGTTTCCCCCGACAGGCTGAGCAGGGTGGAGAAGCAATGCTGGCGTGGCCACGCCAGTGCCAACATGATCAGATGGGCCCCGCCCCTTGGGCCTTCACTAAGACCCAATGTACCAAGGGAATTGGGGGGAAAAGCGTACAAGAGAGGTGCCTCTGCCCAGTGGAGAGCAAACACATCTCCTGTGATTCTGGAACAAATAAAAGGCCAGACATTTCTTGTTTTCTGCGGTGGTGAACAGGTTTAGATGGGGAGTCCCCTACCTTTGGAAGACTGATCTTATCACGTCTTCCCTGACCGACCACTCATGGACCATAAAGGTCCTGCTGAGGGCATCTGCCAAAATGTGTTCTGCAGCCCTGGGAGATATTGCGCTTCGAGATGGATACTGTGTTTGACACAATAAAACCATAGCCTCTGTGCAGGCGAGATGACTTCCCCCCTCCCCCGCCATGCCCCCCATTTGTTTATATAAAACATTATGGTTGTATTGTCCGTACACACTGATATGCACCGTCCCTGCATCTGCATTTGGAACACCCGGCATGCCAATCTGACTGCTCTCAGTTCCTTCACATTGATGTGAAGAGTCATATCCACAGGTGACCATAGGCCTTGCGTCCTTAGGTCGCCCAAGTAGGCTCCCCACCCCATGTCCAATGTGTCCATCACCAGAGTCAAAGTGGGGTTTAGAGTAATGAACTGTACGCCCTCTGACAGGTTGTGGAGGTTCAACCACTACGTGAGGGACTCCAACAGCCTCTGGGGGATGACTGCTGAAACCACAATTGATGAGGGGTGAGGGTAGGAGTACAGGAACTTGTATCCCTTGGGTGGGACAAAGTACCTCCTCTCAACCCCCTTAGCAACCAGAGGACTAGAGAACGGGGTCTGCCACAGGGTCGTGTAGTTTGACTGTAGAGTCTTTATGATTGGCAGAGCCACCCTAGGGGGGCCCCTCATGCGAGAGGATGTCCACCATTGGGTCCTTGGGTTCCTGTACCTCCTCCAACCGGAGGTTCATGTTCCACGCTACCCTGTGCAGAAACTCCTGATATGCCCAGTGGGCCACAGGCGGGGGCCCCGACATGGAGGTACCCGCCACTGCCTCATCTGGGGAAGACGATGAATAGGCCTGGGCAGTGCCCTCCACCGATGCCTGGACTCCGTCCTTGGGATTCTCCCGATTGTCTTTTCCTAGTGGGTGGGAGGGCTGTCCCTTCTAGGTGGACAGCACTCCTCTGAGGACAGTGTCTGTCCTGAGGAGAAGACGACCCGTGACATATGGACACCAACGAGCAGGGAGTGCCTTCGGACTGGTGATATGCCCAGGGGTCCAGAAGGACAATTGGGCTGGCAGTGGCCAGTGCTGCTGCCACTGTACCAGTTGGTCCCTAACAGTACGTTAAGATTGGCTGCACCGAGACCTGCCCGCTACTCGTCCAACTCCGATCCTGACTGGGATGACCATGATGGTGCCGAAGATGACAGTGCCAGCACCAGGTGACAGGACCATGTCTGGGACCCCGACCGGCACTGAGGAGGCTAGGAAAGGGAACGGTGTCTCGGACTCCTAGATCTTGACCTGGATCTGCAGACCAACCGCTGTGTCGAATGCCTATCTCTCGGTGCTGGGCTGGTACTCAGTGCTGGACTCTCTTGCCATGCAGGTGGCGAGGAATGTTGCGCTGGTGACAGAGGACCCTCTGAAGAAAAAGAGCCATCCTGGCACCACTCAGTTGACTGTGGTCGGTGGAACATAGGAGGCTTTCCCCTGGAGCGGTGTGGACCCAGTGGCAGTGGTTTGTCCCACACAGTGGACACTTCATCCTCTGAGATTTCTATCAGGTCTCTGGCCGCTTCAAAAGTGTTCATCATCGAAGGGGAGTTTAAGACCTGCACTGGGCTCATGTCTCTGGGTGGCTGGTCATGTGCTGGGCTCGATGGCCCCGGTCCCAGGGCTGGAGTCGACGGAACACCCTGGACCATTTTCTCTGGTTCTGGTCCTGTCTCTGCTAGGGACTGTGGGGAGGGCTGACCTTTGTCCTCTCTCCTGTCCCATGATGCAAGCGAAGAAGATTTATGCCTCAGCACCGTCGTCTTTGGTGCCGGGGATCCCCAGCACTGACAGTCTTTGGCTGTACCCAGCTGCTGTATCTCTCATGGAGATCAGGGCACTGTGCACTGAACTGGCTCCCAGGACCAATTTTTCGGTTTGAGGGGGTTTTAATGCTGCCTCCATCAGGAGTTGTTGGAGCCTATGCTCCCCGTCCTTTCTAGTACGGGGCTTGAAACTCCTGAAGATTCTGCACTTTTCTGTACGGTGTTCTTCACCCAAACAGTGGATGCACAAATCATGCAGATCGCTGTTGGGCATATGGTGCTTACAGTCGGTGCATGCTCTAAAACCTGGGGTGTTAGGCATGCCCCGGCACTGCAGGGGGCTAAACACTTGGGCACACACTCACCATTCTTGTATGTGTTTGAAGATCCTTATAATGAAGACCAAGATAAAGATGAGGAACACCAGAGCTATTATGAGGGACTAGGCACTTGCTAAGCAAGAGCCAGCTACAGTTCCAACATCACCATGGACGGTAAAAGGGAACTGAGGGAGGGTAGGGTTGGCAGTGGTGTGTGTGTGTATGTGTGTATATATATATATATATATATATATACACATACATACATACACACACACACACACACACACACACACACACACACACACACATATATATATGTAACAAAATTGCTTCCTCTACATC